GAGCTAGGCGGAGCGAGACATGCATCTGGCTGTTGTCAGGTTAGCCTGAGGTATCCACCAAGCCATTTGTCTTTGGGGGCCATCTTTCTGATGTACTCCTGGGTCTTAGTTGTTTAAGCATAGCTGTTGAGCAACTGAATAGCTCAGTAGGTACGACTCCGGCACAGGTGACCGGGGTTCGATTCCTGGCATGGACATCCAGGTGGACCCTTAGGCAAGGTCCTTTGTGCTTAGTGGCCTACCTCAGGCATGAGTGATACCGCAAATACAAGAGCCATACCGGCTCGGACGTCACCCGGGTTAGTTGCTAGGTCCGCGTCAGTTGCTAGGGAACCAGGGCAACTTGATGACAAATTGGCTACTGGAACAAGACATAGATGGACTAGAGCAGAAAACTTGGTACTGATATATATATATATAAAACTAATCAAAAAACATTATGTTGAAAAATCAACACGAAGCTGTAAAAATTATGTGAATTTATGCAAATTTCTTACAGTTTGATGTTTTCAAGCCTTAACCCTTTAAAGCCCGATCCAAGAACAAAACAAAATAAAATTACTTTTTTTTTGTTTGAAGTCCTTATTTGGCCTTTTAACAAAATATGTAAAAAGAAAAAACTGATTTTTTTTTTTTATATTAATAATTTATGACTATTCGATAAGTCAAGATTATTTTTTGTGTAGTCTTCTGCCCTCTGTTATCAGGTATATCTGATTGTGTACAATAGGATTTTGAAAGTTTTTACCATTAAATTATGCAAAAGGTGTCAGACACAAAACATTTCAGAAACCGTATGTATCAAATATGATACATTTGGCATTACAGGGTTAAATCCGAATTTGGTGAGCACAAACTGGGCTCATACATCACTCTGGCATACAATTTAAAGTTTACAAAAAATGAACAACCAGAAGATAAACATAGAGCAGTGACTTTGAGAAGCTACAGTATGTTTTCAGTTTGTACTCCTTAAAACATAGAGATTAGCCTATAAACTAAAAGAGGAAGACAGACAGACTCACCGTACAGTATAACAGAAAAGATTGAAAAAAAAAGTATATTTTTTCTTTAAAAATTAGGTTAAATAACCACAATATACTTCCATACATAAGGCTTTTAATATCTAATAAACAAACAAACAAGAAAAACACACACACACACACAAGTTAGGTTCTAAATTTTGGCATGTCAAGTTTTATTCCTTCCATGCATCACATGTCAACATGTTAAAAAGCAGAAGTGTTATTGAGGAGGTTTTTGTCATGGTGTGAATCACTGTGATACCCACTCTTCAGCAGAAGTGTCCCATGTGCTACAGTAATATACTGCAGCGTCTCCTTCTTCAACATTGCTAATTCTAAGATGATAATCTGAGTTTGACTGATGATTGACAGTAAATTTGGGAGCAGAGAAACCAGAACCAAACTTTGGAGCGCTCCAGCCCTTATAAAAATTTAAAACAAACTGAGGGATTCCTCCTGGAATGTGTTTGTAAAAACGTGGTCCATCCACAGCTGAGTTACAGTCCATGTTGGCCGTCTCTCCTTTCCTCACCGTCACAACTAAAGGCACCTGTGACACAACTACCACACCATTCACACCTGCAAGCAAAGACATGACATAAAGTTACAGTAAACAGAACGGACAGATTATTCCAACAGGAGCTCAGTCTGCAGTAAGTCATCCTGCTTACATGTTAGAGCTGTGATGAGAGAGCAGAGGGTCCCAAGCATGTTGTCAGTTTCTGCTAAGAATGATCTTGGTCCTTCTGAAGTGACCTTACTTCTGACAGATGAGAGAGTTTAGAGGATTAGGAGAGGAGGTGGAGGAGATATTTATCAGAAGACTCAGACTAACAGGAACAGACAGGAGGAGGAGCTCTGATACGTTATGGTGTGAAGGACTTCTTTGACTAAATTTGGTTTTCTTGATTTGTTTTTAATTATTTTAGCATCATGAAATAGTAAATCCAGTTTTTCTCAAACAGTACTTTAAGTCAGATCAGGGAAGATCAGGTTGGCTGAAGTTAATGAGAGAGCTCACTGTAGTGCAGCCTGGAGGCATGGCTGAAACCAATTTAATAGAACAATTTATATTATAGCCACTATTTTCTTAACCACTGAAAAGTTATTTTTGTCTCAAAATCGGATATTTTCATTTTTCTGTACAATTTTTCCTTTTAAAGCGCTGTCCCTTTTTGAGAATGTTTCTGCATAAAGCATCATAAAAACTTAATCAAATTATCACTAGAACTTGTGTTTTTCTCTAATTACATGTGAGCGTACTAAGCAAAAAGCTTTTTAGACTGGTTGAAACAGAGAATTGTTTATCAATTTCATAACCACATCTTGTTAGGATCCAGCCACTTTATAAAACACTTTGATTTACTCAGAATGTAACAATTTGTATCATGAAACAAAGTGAATGTACCATAAAAATAAATGAATATACGATGAAATAACCCCATTGTCTGACTGGCTGCTTCACACTAATCAAGACAAGATAGTTTTTTCCTTGTTTGCTTTGACTCTGAGGTCTATAATTTCTCTGGATATATGGAAAAGCTTCAATATCATCTTGCATTTGTTTATTAAAAACAAATGCAAGATGAAAAACAGCCTGTATATCCCTGGTTTGGTCTGAAATAAGTTAATGAGAGAGCTCACTGTGGTCCAGCCTGGAGGCAGTGCTGAGTCTGCTGCATGGACTCCATTAAATAAGTAAATACAAAGTTAAATAATTAAATCTATATTTGAAAGAAATGTTATTAACTTTTTGTATTTTGTAATATTATTTTTGAAGAGGTATGTTTAATTATTTAACAGCACATTAAATATTCAATTCTACATTTCAGAATTTAATGGTACTTACAAATATTTTAAATGAAAACATAAATAATTGGTATATTTAAAAAACTGTTTATGACACTATCCTGGCTCCTTTTTGCGAAGACCTATAGCATTCATTTGAACAGTTCACAGCTGAGAGTGAAGTGGCAGGGATGAGGATCAGCTCCTCCAAGTTTGGAATAAAGTGGTTTGCCCTCCTCAAGTTGGAGGAGAGTTTCTTCCTCAAGTAGAGGACTTTAGGTAACATGGGGTCCTTATCATTAGTGGGGCACAGTTTCCTGTCTCTACCTGCTTTTGTTAATTTTTGAAGTGGATTTAGAGTCACATTTGTGTGAGGAGAAACTTGCTCTGAAGCGTAGTGATGCATGGGAATGATGAAAGGTAGAACAAGCTGAGGTGTCCCACCAGGCGCATGTTTGTACCAGATGAAATATGCCACTCTTCACTAAGAATGTTGCTGTTTAGAACAACATAATGTCCTGTAGAAACGGTGTGAACAGCAGTTGTCTGGGTCAAAACATAGACTGCTTCAGCATCTGTAAATACTAAAGCAAACGTCAATTTGAAATCAATGTTACAAAAAAAGAACAATGAATAAAGTGAACCAAAGCTGTAACTTACAGGACAAAACAGTGATGGCTGTACAGTGGATTAGCAGCTTGTTGTCAGCTTGTGGTGTCAATGTTCCCTAAAATGAAGGTGAGAGAACATGACTGAGATGTATAAAGAAGCTGAGAAGAGAAAACAGGGATATTTAAGGTACTACAAAAAACAGCAACAAAAACATTATTTACCACATGCTTTTTAATGCTTTCAAATGATAATAGATTGCTGAAGTTCAACTTTAGTGATTGTAGTGTTCACATTATTTTAAACTTGTCATTACTTTTACTTTGATTTGTACTGAACTGAATGGGCCCTGCATTTATACCATGAGCACATTGAGGTGTGAAAATCTAATTAAATTAAATATTTATATTATATGTCCATAGCAAATCAGCTTTGTGGCAACCTCATGTACTATTTTATACACTTCAGTTAAATCATGGAAGTTCCTAAATAGATAACCTCCTTAAATATCCTTTT